CCTGTTGTAACTGTTTTGCCTGTTGAATCTTTGCCACTTTTCCGCTGACAGTCGTCCAATCAATGATTATCTCTGCGAGGCTGCGTTGTACCAGAACACAACTTCGCCCTCATTGCGTGTGGACACCTGAGTAGAATAGCTTCCGTCTGCAGAGGTTCTGGATTCCAGAGTCTCAGCGCTTCGTTGACGAGAGTCCAACAATGTCGAGTTGGTTCTTTATGGCCTCATCAACTAAGTGTTGTTCTTTCCTTCTGAGTGAGTATATATTCCAATTTCTGACTGTAAGCTCCCACCGGCGGTGTTTTCTCGGGGAGCCTTTTATATGTGTTATAATGACATCGCGCTGTCTGCCTCCTACGTCCAGAACGGGTAGCGACTGGCATCTTCGTCGTCGTTCCGTCGATCTTCGTCAGCTGTTGCCCTGCTGCTACTCTCCCGGTTGGAAAAGGGAGACGCGCAGGTTCTGATGGCTGATTTTTCGCAGCCTGCCTCAGTCCCCCAACAGCCTGCGCGGCCCTTGGTAACCCGGGCTACGATCGAGCCGGCATAATTTGCGATAACGTCAGTACCATGAGTTGCAGATGGCGAAGCTATACGGAAACTTCGCCACGGTCTCCAACCCTCCTTCTTTCTGAACCGGATTGGGTCCAGCAACAGCAGAGTTCTGTCTGACATTGCGATTGATATATTGTTCCCTATAGTGTACTTGCATTGCGTAGGCTTTATGCAAAATTAAGCTTATTTTGATTTAGTATTCACCCAGTCTAAAGTTGTGCATTTAAAATGAACTATTCCTTGGCCAGCTGTTTGTTTGAAAAGTGTTTGCCGTTGAGTTTGACTAATACAAGTGAAGGGAAAGTTTCAACCGCTAGTCTTGCATAAATGGTCATTGCTGTAAACTTAGTGCTTGGTTTAAATTAACATACCTTAACATGGTACTAAGTTTAAATAGTATGGTTATCGTCATATAGGTTTTACACTAAAGAATTCACGAATTCAATTTATAAAGTTTACAGACCGCAAACGAAATAGTATGGTTTTAGGCTATTTTCACTGCTTCCGTGAAGGAAACGTCCCAAACAGCGACTACGCGCCGGATTGATTGATTTCTTGCCAGAGGTTATCGTTCTGCCTCCACTAAGTTTGAACCATATGGTGACCCTGTCAGTACTGACCAAGGTGCCAATCTCCAATTAGAAAACTTACAGTTGTTTTGGTTCCATCAGCTGCAACATTTAAACCATTCAGTTATTTACTAATTATTTAATTTAAATATAATTTCATAATTTAATTGCTTTTTAGTGTAAAATAGCTACCCCTTATTCCTCGAGCTTCTTTAAACAAACTGACGAATGAAGAAACGAAAGAACTTAAGAACGGAAAAATGATAAGATATTATCATTGGTTCAAACTGCTTAACAACCTGGCTT